CACAATTGTGGTTTTTCTAATTTGGTTTATTTCTGAAATGACTTTTGTTTCTACGTTTTTCCCAAGTTCTAGCTTACTTATGAGTTTCAAATTCTGATTTATATTGTTCTTCATAACTTTTATCATTCTCTTATTTATTTTACCTCATTTTGAAATAGTAGGTGTATCAGCCAGTGTTCTCACAGAGAAACAGAACCAATAGAATTTATACATATGTATACTAAGATTTATTTTAGGAAATTGGCTCATGTGATTGTGGGAACAGGTGACTCTGAAATCTCTAAGTCAGGCCAACAGGTTGGAAATTCAGGCCAGAGTTAATGCTGCAGCTTGAAGCAGAATTTCTTTTCCAGGAAACCTCAGTTTTTTCTGAATGATTCCAAGTGATGGAAGAGGCCCCATCCACATTATCAAAGGTATTCTCTTTTACTTAAAGTCAACTGATTGTAGGCATAAACTACATCGTAAAATATCCTCACAGCAAGACTTATGTTATATTAAGTAACTGGGTGCTGTAATCTAGCCAAGTTGATACATAAGACTAAACCTCATATTAAGTTGTAGCTTTCATTTATTTATTGGGTATGTTCTTACAGAGATGTTATTCTGCTTTGTATTTTCTTTTTCTTATAACAACTGTGTGAAATTAGACTGTGATCCTTTTTCTGTTGCTTTTTTTTTTTTTACATGAAATTGATTTTCCTGATCTTTAAGGCAGGGTGGGTCAAAATAACTTTTCTAACTTCATGGCTTTAGACTTACCTCTTCTGTTGTTTTGTAAAGTGTCCAAAAATAAGGTTAATACTTTTTGAGATCTCCAGATTCTGTTTCCTTCTCTCTTTCATCTGTAGTTTTTGTTTCCTTTGTCTTTATTGTCCCTTTCCAGCTCAGTTGGGATTCTTTTCCCTTCATTACAGATCCTTGCCCTAGAAGTTATCTTTAGGTCCTTGGTTTTGGTGTTCATAGATCCCAGCTTCTCCTGCCCTTTCAAATATTATCATGGACCTCTTGGACTTAAACTTAGAAATTGAAAAGTACAACAACCTCTCTGGTTAGAGTTGCTGTCTTCCCAATGTCCTGCCATGGTTTCCAATGAATACCTATCACTGATTTAAATGTTCTTCTCTTCTAAGGTCTACCATATTTGCTTTCTTTTGCTGCCTTATGCTGATATCATGTGAGTCTGGTTGTTTTAGCTGGCTTGTTCCAACCCACTTATATTTTGGGATTTTGAAGAATACTTTGTCACTAAGTTTTATTGTTGACATTGTCCAGTGTTGTTTTGTTTGTTTCATTGGTACTACCCTAATTGTCTTCTCTGTGCCTACAAGGAAATTGGAGTAGATTGAAAAACTACATCACCACTAACCCTTCCTAATTTCTTTTCTTCTGTAAATGCCTCTTTTTGTATCCTTCCTTTTACTTTTTTTGGGTTTTCTCTGTTGTTATTTTATTAGCATCTTATACTGAAAACCAAGTTTATTCACTTTCAACCTACCTTATTTCTTCTATGTATATTTAAGGCTATATATTTCATTTTAGGAATTATTTATACTATATGCTACAAGTTTTAAGAACATTGAATGCTTTTATTCTTTATTTATAAATATTTTGTAACTTCTGTTGTGATTTCTCCTTTACTTCACGAATCATTCAGAAGTAAAGTTTGGAGGGTTTTTTTTCCTTTAAGAATTACAAATACCTTAATACTTTTTTCTGGCTAATTTTATGAGAAATTCTACTTTTATTTCATTAATATCAAAGGCATAGTATATGTGATGATAATTCTTTGAGATTGGCTAAGACTTCGTTTGTAAATATGATCAATTTTGGTAAAAAGTTCTATGTGAGATTGAAAAGAATATATTTTATTTTATATTGGCTAATTTTATAGGTTTATCTGTAGTTTGAGAAAAATGTGTCAAAAACCTACCACTATATTTGTGGCTTTTAAATTTTTCCTGGTACTTTTATCAAATTTTGCTTCATATAGTCTATAGGTTCAATGCAATCCCTATCAAAATACAAATGGCATTTTTCACAAAATTGGAATAAATAATACTAAAATTTGTATGGAACCACAAAAGACCCCAAATAGCCAAAGCAATGTTAAGAAAGAACAAAGCTGGGGGTATCACAATCTCCAATTTCAAGGTAAACTACAGAGCTGTAGTAATCAAAACAGTATGGTACTGGCACAAAAATAGACACATAAATCAATGGAACAGAATAGAAAGCCCAGAAATAAACCAATGAATATATGGTCAATTAATCTATGACAAAGGGTGCTAGACTATCCAATGCAAAAAAGGCAGTCTCTTCAATAAATGGTATTGGGAAAACTGGACAGCAACATGTAAAAGAATGAAACTGGACCACTTTCTTACACCATACACAAAAATAAAATCAAAATGGATTAAAAATCTAAACATAAGAGACCTGAAACCATAAAAATCCTAGAAAAGCACACAGGCAGTAATTTCTCTGACATAGACCACCACAACATTTTTCTAGATATGTCTCCTGAGGCAAGGAAAACAAAAGCAAAAACAAACTTTTGGAACAACTTCAGAATAAAAAGCTTCTGCACAGCAAAGAAAACCATCAACAGAACAAAAAGACAACCTACTGAATCGGAGAAGATATTTGCAAGTGACATATCTGATAAAGGGTTAATATCCAAAATACATAAAGAACTTATACAACGCAACACTGAAAAACCCCCAAATAATCCAGTTAAAATAGGCAGAAGACCTGAATAGACATTTTTCCAAAGAAGACATACAGATTCCCAACAGAGACATAAAAAGATATTCAACATTACTAATCATCAGGGAAATGCAAATTGAAACCACAGTGAGAATATCACCACACACCTGTCAGAAGGGCTAAAATCAAAACCACAATAAATAACAAGCGTTCATGAGGATGTGGAGAAAAAGGAACTTTTGTGCACTATTGGTGGGAATGCAAACTGCAGCCACTGTGGAAAACAGTATGGAGGTTACTTTAAAAATTAAAAATGAGGGGCACCTGGGTGGCTCAGTCAGTTAAATGCTCAGCTCTTGGTTTCTGCTCAGGTCATGATCTCAGGGTCGTGGGATCGAGCCCCGCATAGAGCTCCACCTCAGCATGGAGTCTGCTTGAGATTCTCTCCCTCTGCCCCTCCCCCTGCTCAAGCCATCTCTTCTTTTTTCTCTCTCAAATAAATGAATCTTAAAAAGTTAAAAATAGAAATACCATATGATCCAATAATTCCACTACTGGGTATTTACCCAAAGAAAATGTACGTACCCCTATGTTTATTGCAGCATTATTGACAATAGCTAAGATACAGAAGCAACCTATCTATCAATAGATCAATGGATAAGGAAGATTGCTTATCAAAAGATGAATGGTTAAGAAATAAACACACAGGGGCGCCTGGGTGGCTCAGATGGTTAAGCGTCTGCCTTCGGCTCAGGTCATGATCCCAGGGTCCTGGATCAAGTCCCGCATCCGGCTCCCTGCTAGGTGGGGAGCCTGCTTCTCCCTCTGCCTCTGCCTCTCTCTCTCTCTCTCTCTCTCTCTCTGACTCTCATGAATAAATAAATAAAACATTAAAAAAAAAAGAAATAAACACACATACCAGAATATTACACAGCCATACCAAAGGATGAGATCATGCCATTTGAAACAACATGGGTGGATTGAGAGGGTATGTTAAGTGATATAAGTCAGACTGAGAAAGACAAATACCATATGATTTCACTCATAAGTGGAATCTTAAAAAACAACAGCAACAACAAATGAATAAACAAAAAGCAGAATCAGACCTGTAAATACAGAGAACAAACTGATGGTTGCCAGAGGAAAGGGTGATGGTTTGGGTAAAATGGGTGAATGGGAGTGGGAGATATAGGCTTCCAGTTATGAAATGAATTAAGTCAGGATAATAAAAGACACAGTATAAGGAATATAGTCAGTGAGAGTGTAATAGCAATGTATCAGCATAGATGATAGCTATACTTGTGAACATGGCATAATATAAAAACTTGTGCAATCACTATGTTGTACATCTAAAACTATTGTAACATTGTGTGTCAACTATACTCAAAATTTTTTTGCTTTATATATTTCAGGGTTATGTTATATCTTCTGGTGATTTTCTCTTTTTTCTTATACAGTCATTAATCCTATAATTTCAAATTTATGAAATAGCTGGTATTATAATCCTTATTTTACAACTAAAAACACTGAAGCAGTATTTACAGATGTATATCTACATGAAATTTGTACATATGTCTGTGTACATAGTTGTTACTATAACGGTGAAATTGGGTTCCAACCCTGGCTTCAGAAGAGGACCAGGGATACCTGGGTGGCTCAGTCAGTTAAATGTCTGACTCTTGATCTCAGCTCAGGTCTTGATCTCAGGGCTGTGAGTTCAAGCTTTGTGTTGGGCTCCAAACTGGGCCCGGACACTCCTTAAAACAAGAGAACCAATGTTGAGACTAAGACTGATGATGTTAGAAAGTGAATCAGTATCCTTCAAAAGGGGAAATAACTTATAAATGAAAGAATGTGGAAGCAGAAAAAAAAATAAGGAATAAGGAAATAGGGAAAATGTGACTGATGGAAGTTATAGTGGTAGAGTCCGTGATATGCAGAGTAGGATCTCAGAATTTACCATGACTTGTTTTTAAGTGAAGGACCTTGTCTCACTCATTTTTCTTTATCCTTAGAATCTACTGGAGTGCCAGTCAACTGCTAGACACTTGATTATTTTTGATGTAAAATAAAATAAGAATCATGGGGTTTTTTGGGGGGGAGACATCTGAAGTGTCTTGGAAAAGTTATTTTTCCTTTTTCACATTTCTTTGTACAATTTTAAAGAATCAAATTTTATTCTTTTTTTTTTTAATAGTAAGGACTCAGGAACTTGAGCCCTACATTAGAGCACTGAGATAAAAACTTTGAAGCAGATTTTTCTGTTTGAACTATTTTACCTTCTTTTTTAGATTAAGTTAGAGTATGAAGGAACACTATTTTCTGAGTGGAGTGTGCCAGCAACTTGTTCTGTGAAAAATAAAAGGTAAGATTTTTGCTGTGAATGTCAATATAATGTGTGCATTTACACATAAAAACATATTCATATAGTGTAGACATTCAGATTCAGGGCTGTATTTGAATGTAAATTTCTTCCCATCACATAGATGGGAAAAGAAAGACAAAATCTCTTTGAAAATAGGATAGAAGTAAAATATTGCTATATTTTTTATTTTTCTTATTAACATACAATTGATATGTTTAGGCTTAAAAAGTAGTAGGGGAATTTTTACTAATCTTGCATGTATCTATGCTTATTTATCTTCCTGTTCTTTTTAAATACTAGCTCACCCAAGACAGAACTGCGTTGTTCTTCTCCTGGTGTTCAGACTATAAGACCAATTGTCACGGGCCCAGTAAGTTGATTTTAATAAGTTATTAAATCTTGCATAATTATCTCCATTACATTTTATATTCCTTATTTTGAACTTTCAACCTGTTTTAAATAGTGTGTTAAGTATGAATAATTTATGAATAAGTATAAATAAATGTTAAATATAAATAAATAAAAATAATAAATATAAACATTGTCAGTATGGCAATTTTCAGATATATCTCATAGCAGATTATAAGTTACGAAATGAGGGGCACCTTGGTGGTTCAGTTGGTTAGGCGTCTGCCTTCAGCTCAGGTCATGATCCCAGGGTCCATCCTGGGATGGAGCTCCGAGTTGGGCTCCCTGCTCAGCACGGAGTCTGCTTCTCCCTCACCCTCTCCCTCTGTGTGCTTTCTCTCTCTCAAATAAATAAATAAATCTTTAAAAAAATAAGTTATGAAATGATACGTGATTTTTAAGTTAGCCTTTTCATCAAGTATGTTAAAGCCCCATTTACCACCTTAATGATAGTAGTACTCCCCACTGAGTGGGTCTCATGTCATATACTTTTATGACAATTCCTTGGATTAAAAGCCATTTCTAGTAAGTTTGTTTTTACTATATTTTCTTCAATTCCAGAAAGCATATGCGAATGCAAATACATGAGAGGGATGTTGAATCCTCTCTCATTTACAAAAAAGAAAAAGAAAAAGTTAAGCATTAAAAACATTGGCTGTCTACTAATTAGTAACACGTACTAGCCACGCACTTCATAGCTGATATTCCTATACAAGTGTGTCTAAAGCTACTGCCAGAGAGACTCCCTGTGACAAATCTTGTCTTTATTTTGGGGATTGAGCCTTCTTTTTAATTAATAATCTTTATTTTCAGAAAATAAGTAGAGTGATGTGGGAGAGGCCAGATGAATATTAATTAATTCATTTTTTTCAAAACTTGTAGATTGAAAAATATTTGAATTTCGCTTTTGAGTTTATGAATATTTACCAGGTTCATGGACAAAATTCCTAAGCAAGTAAAAGCTTACTCCTTTTCCTTTTGTTGTATGTTGGAAGCCCAAATGTGCAATGTTATATAGAAAATATGTACACACAAATACATGCATATATAAGAATATCTTTGTCATTTATGTATGGTGCCATCCGATCTTACAACTTTTAAGGATGTACATGTAACTTTTGAAATACACTCAAAAGCACTCAGATACAACAACCAAAAATGTCTCCAATGTCCCCTGGTGAGAAAAATCATCTCTGATTCAGAACCATTACAGAAGAAAATTAATTGAATTGTGTTTCAGTAAGCAAGACTGTCTAGGAAAACTCACTATTTACCTTTATACACTCAAAGAGAACACTTCTATTACCAGATGTGGTGTGGGGGCTTGGTTTCCATACAGACTATTTCTGACACCAGTGGAGTGTCCTACAATTCAGAGTTCTGGCATTTTCTACACGGAGGAACTTCACATCCCACAAGTAAAGGGCTCTGTCCCACAAGACTGCCCCACTTCACATGACAATTGCAAGTTCCAGTTTGTCACCTGACTAACTGGCTATAAATCCAGGTTCCCACAACCTTCTCCTCAGGTTCAATAATGTGCCAGAACAGCTCAGAGAACATTTGCCAGTTATAATAATAAAAGATATGATAAAGGATACAGATGAGCAGCCAGAAAAGAGGTACCTAGGGCAAGGTCTGGAAGGGCCCTGAGCACAAGAGTTTCTGTCTCTGTGGAGTTGGACTGTGTCACCCTGCCAGCATGTGGACGTGTTTACCAACCTGAAAGCACTGTGATTTTTATGGGGGCTTCATCACATAGGCATGATTAATCAACTCATTTTCTACTCCCTCTCACCTCTCCAGAGGGTGGGAGGTTGACCTAAAAGTTCCAAGCTTCTAATGATGGCTTGGCCTTTCTAGGGACCATCCCATCCAGGAGCCCACCCAGAGTCGCCTCATTAGAACAAAAGGGGCTCTATGTCAGACCCTCCTGTCATTCAGCAGATTATAAGAGTTGTAGGAGCTCTGCATCAGGCACCAGGGTCAAAGACCAAATATTAGCAGGAACGGGGTGCAAAGACCCATATGTACATGTTTCATGATTTCACAAAGACAAATATAACAGAGGGGCGCCTGGGTGGCTCAGTTGTTAGGTGTCTGCTTTTGGCTCAAGTCATGATCCCAGGGTTCTGGGATCGAACCAGGCATCCGGCTCCCTGCTCAGCGGGAAGCCTGCTTCCCCCTCTCCCACTCCCCCTGCTTGTGTTTCCTCTCCCGCTGGGTCTCTCTCTGTCAAATAAATACATAAGATCTTTTAAAAAATCCTGCTTAAAAAAAGACAAATATAACAGAAATAAAAAGCTATCTAAATTTGTCACTCATGACAAATTAAATTCTTTTTTTTACAAATTAAATTCTTAATTACAAAGAGTAGCTAACAGTATTCATTAGCTCTATTCTGAAATTTGTTCATTATACTACCTCTGATCTTAGATAATTAATTTAGTTCCTCTGTGACTTTTATGCCTGTATCCAAATTTGTATTTATTTTAAAGTTACCTTTATATACCATAGTTTATTTTCCATTTGCTTTCAGGATTCAGAGGAAGAACGCAATTTGTCTGTGGACAGTTCCCATATTTGTTTCCTGTGGTATTATAAAGTCATGTAAGTAATGTAATACTGAATACAAAGATAATTAATGCTATTTTTTTTAAAGTCCGAAGGCAGACATTTAATGACTGAGCCACCCAGGCACCCCAATTAATGCTTTTTAAGAGTATTTAGCTTTGGATACCTGGATTGCTCAGTCAGTTGAGCATCTGCCTTCAGCTCAGGTCATGATCCCAGGGTCCTGGGATCGAGGCCCACGTGGGGCTCCCTGCTCAATAGGGAGTCTACTTCTCCTCTGCCCTTATCCCCTGCTCATGCTCTCTCTCTCTCAAATAAATAAATATTTTTTATTTAAATATTTAAATACTTTAACTTTGAATTAGCCACAAATGGATTATCTGCATTATTATTTTCATATAAGCTTTTCATTCACCAATCAAGATATACTCAAATAAGATGCCAAACTAATATTGGGGAACAAACATTAAAAATAACAGTAGCAACCACTATTTGAACATATAGTTCTAATGTTCAAACTTTATGTAAATTATCTCTCTCAATTTTCATAACAAACTCACAAATGTAAGTATTATTATCTTTATTTTATAAACGAGGAAATGTGAGCTTGGATAGGTTAAATAATTTGGATAAAAATACACAGCTACTAAAACATAGCACTGGGATTTGACTCTGGTTTTTCAGACTACTGGGCTCTTTGATTTCCATTATATACATCCTGTTCCAAAAGAACACTCTTTGTTTTGGATGGTTTCTCAAAGCCATTTTAACATGAGAGTGACTGAACATAACTAAAAAGAGAAAACTGTCACAAGGGAAGATAATTAACTGCATTATAAAATTATTTGACAAGTTAAAAGCATCAATGAATCCAAATATTTTTCATTGTCAGAGTCAAGGCAATATCCTAAGCTCTGTATAGGATACAAACAACTTGGGCCTTGCTCTCCAGATGACTGTGATACACATATTTCTTTTTGTCTACTTAACTTTCCTTCCTTTGGGAGAATCATCCCTCCCCTATTCTGTGATGAAGTTAATTTTGTGTGATTGATATGGTACTAACTCCACAACCTCACATTTCATGGGCCACAGTAATTAGTTGAGGGTTAACACATGACTCAGGCAGAACCAATCAGAATACTCTGTCTTCAATAAAAAGCATGGTTGTTGCTGATGGTGGTCCCTTAAAGTCAGGTGGCTTGGCAGTTTCTGTGCACTTTTTGGATCGAAGTCCTGATAACTAGATTTTAGCAGGCCCTTCCAGGGGTACATATTTAGCCATTCCTCTCCAAATTATTACCAACTTCCGGGAGTCTTACCAAGAAGCAAGGACTGAGTCTCTGCTACTCCTGAAACTGGCAGATTTCTGTCCTTGTTGTGGGTTTCAGAAATGCCAATTACCAGGTTTCTACTGTGGATTTTGAACCAACTGGGAAATAGACAAGGGAAAATGTGGGGATAAAAATTCCTGATACGGCTGAACGGGAGAATAGAACCTGTCTCTCTGGTCAAATGGGCTATTTTCTGCTTCCCCCAAGTAGACACCATGGGAGACCATCAGAGAAGAGAATCTGCCAAAAAAGCATTTATAGACAGTGTCCCACATTTCCAATCTCACACATACTGAGCCCCAAGACCTGGTGAAAGAGATGGGCCTCCAGATTACCGTGATCTGGTTATGGATAATGAAAGCAAAATCAGAAGAAGCACTATCCAGGGGGGCAGTTTAGCCCAAAAGAGAGAGCTCAGTGGGAGCTAAGTGTTTTTCTGTTACATAGGTGTTAAAAATGTTCACAATCTGTCACCTGTAAAAATACCATTTAAAGAATAAAATGAAACTAATATCCAGGTATTCATCACACAAGTCAAGAAATAGAACATTATAGGTACCCTAAAATCTGCTACTTAGAAATGCAGAATCTGGGGCCTCCTTCCCAAGCTCCTAAATCATTATGTGCATTTAAACAAGAACCTATAGACATTGTATGTACATTACTGCTTAGGACGTACCACTCCTAGTGGGATGTACCACTCCAAGTAGAATTGACTAGAAGTAGGATATACATTTGCTCAACTTTACTAGTTAATGCCTAATTGCTTTTTGAAAAGATAGTTCAAATCTACACCTCCACCAGCTGTGGATAGAAGTTCCCATTGTGCTGCATCCTCACCAACACTTAATATAATCTGACTTTTTAATTTGCCAATCTAGTAGATGTGAAATTATGTCATTGTGCTTTTAATTTGCATTTCCCTGATCACTACTGAGCATATTTTCAGTTATTCATGAGGAATTTTTCTTTCCTCTCTGTAAAATGAACATTTTTACCCATTTTTGAGTTATTTTTATGTTCATAATAATTTATAAGATTTCATTACATTTTAATTACTAGGACATTATCTATACATTTCAACATGTGTATTGAAGGAGTTCTATCCCAGTTTATGTGGCTTTTCACACCTTATGATCTCAGTTGATAACTTACACCCTTCCTATTGTAGATGAATTTATCAACTCTTACCTTAATGGGTTTGTGAGTTTTTAAATCAATTTAAGAAATCTTTTCCTCCGAGTTCATAAAAATAGCCTCCTATGTTGTTTTCTGAAAGTTCTTAATCCATCTGGAATTAGTTTTTGCATATGCTTTGAGATAGAGATCCAGTTTTATGTTTTTGACATGAATAATTAATTTTATCAGACCTAATTATTGAATAATGTATTTACCAATAATGCCTACGTAGATAAGTTTTCCATGTATGCAGGTTTCTTCCCATCAGGCTATTCTGTTCAGCTGATCTATTTGTCTACTTAAATCAATACTACATTATCTTTATTACTATGATTTAATTTTGCAAATCTTGATAAGGGGCAGTGCACCTGGACTCTGACCCCAACTCTTCACCTTCTTCAGGAGTCTCTTAGCTATGTATTGGGCCCATTTTAACTCCCTATGAATTTTTAGAATTGGTTTGTCAAATTCCACAAAAACTCTAGTAGGGATTTTTATAATTGTCTAAATATTTCAATCAATTGGAGAGTCTTTCAACTCAATAATATATAATCTTCCATTTATTTAGGTCTTTTTACATGTCTGCCAATAAAATTTTATAATTTTTCATGTAAGTGCCTGGACATTTTTATTAGACTATTTTGAGATGCTTTATAATTTTGTTGCTATATACTCAGTTTTTTAAAGTTGCATTTTCTAACCAGACCTTCCTGTTGTATAGAACACAATTTACTTTTGAATATTGATTTTTGTATTCAGCAACCTTGCTAAATTCTTATATTAATTCTAATAATTATTTATATATTCTCTTGGAATTTTTATAAATCATATCACCTGCAAATAATGGTAGTTTTGTTTATCCTTTTCCAATAACTATACCTTTTCTTTCATCCATTCTTACTGCATGGCTAAAATATTCAGTATTCTTACTGCACAGCTAAAAGGGTGAAAACAGGCCTCCTTATCGTATTCCTGATCTTAAAAGGGAGGCTCTCATTGTTTCACTATTTTGCAGAATATTTGTTGTAGATCATGAATTAACCTTTACCCAGGTAAGGAACTTCCCTTTTATTCCAAGTTGGTGGTGAATTTTTCTTAGGAATCAGTGCTGAAATTTATTCAGAGTTTTTTTCTGTTTGCATTTAAAAGCTCATATGGTTTTCCTGTTTTACTATGTTAATGATGAAAAATAGTTATTAATATTCATACATTAAACTTACCTTGTGTTTCTAGAATAAGCCAACTTGGTCTTGATGAATTCTTTCATATACATTGATGGATTTTGTTTGCTAATATTCTGTTCAGGTTTTTTTGGTGTGAATACTCTTAAGTGAAGTTAGCCTGTGGTTTTACTTTCATTGTACTATCATTTTCCACATTTGCTATCAAGACTGTGCTAGACTCACCACGTAAGTTAGGAGTAGTCATTCTTTTCCATTCTGAGAGATTTTGTGTAAGATTGAAATATATATGTTCTTTGAGTATCCGATGGAAATTTGCACAGAAGTTTACTTGAATCTAGATTGTGTGTGTGTGTGTGTGTGTGTAGAAGGATTTCCTAAGTGTTAATTCAACTTTCTAATGGTCATAATGCTATTTTGGAATTCTAATTATTGTAAAATCCATTTTTGTAAGTAGTATTTTTCTAGAAATTTATCCATGTCTTCAGTTAGCAATTTTATCATCAACTTTAATATCAAAAAGTTGTCTGTACTATCCTCCTATATATTTTGGCCTTTTGAGGTAGTTGTAGTTATGCTTCTGTTTTAACATTTCTAATAATTTTATTTGTGCCTTCCTTTGTTTCCATGTCCTTGTGGTATTTCTATTTTATTAGTCTTTTAGACTGGTCAAAGAACCATCTTTTGGCTTTGTTGAGCTTTTCTGTCCCGGCTCATACTTCCATTATTTCCTTCTTTGAGTTTGTTTTTCTAAAACTTAAATTGGCTATTTAGTCCATTAGGCTTGAGGCTTTTTTCCAAATGTGTATGTTTAAGGCAATCAATTTTCTTCTAAGCATCTTTGTAACTGCTTCAAGTATTGCAAATACCTCCTAATTGTGATTTTTCATTATTGCTCAGAAATAATTTTCTAATCCCTGCTACAATTTGTTTGACCAATGACTTGTTTAGAAATGCAGAATGGGAGAAGATATTTGCAAATGACATATCAGATAAAGGGCTAGTATCCAAAATCTATAAAGAACTTATCAAATTCAACATCCAAAGAACAAAGAATCCAATCAAGAAATGGGCAGAAGACATGAACAGACATTTTTCCAAAGAGGACATCCAAATGGCCAACAGACACATGAAAAAGTGCTCAACATCGCTCGGCATCAGGGAAATCCAAATCAAAACCTCAATGAGATACCACCTCACGCCAGTCAGAATGGCTAAAATTAACAAGTCAGGAAACGACAGATGTTGGCGGGGATGCGGAGAAAGGGGAACCCTCCTACACTGTTGGTGGGAATGCAAGCTGGTGCAGCCACTCTGGAAAACAGTATGGAGGTTCCTCAAA